CATATCATGTAGCATGCAATAATCTGATTGCTCATCCTGTTCCGGTTTGACGTTCCAGCTATCATCTTTCACACTAAAAAGCAACACTACAAGCACCATCACATCTATCATCATAGATCAACAGTTTCATAACATATTGTCAGGAACTCATGTAATCCTCTGCCAAAGCCTCCTTTCAGGCGGGTAGGGTGTCTCACGCCGCTGTAACCCTGCACTGCTGGGAGGCTGAGCGGGCGGTATTGCTTGAGTCAGGGAGTTCCTGAAAGCCAGCCTGAGCAAGAGCGAGACCCCATCTCACTATAAATAGAGAAACTTAATTGCCAACCTAATTATATTACGAAAAAAAAAAAATTAGCCGGGCATGTGGCGCATGCCTGTTAGTCCCAGCTACCGGAAGGCGAGGTAGGAGGATTGCTGAGCCTGAAGTTTGGGGCTTGCTGTGAGCTACAGCTGACACCATGGCGACTCACTCAGCGTGGGCACAAACGAGATGACTCTGCTCAAAAAAAAAAAATCCCTCCTTTAAACCGCAGCTACCTCTTCTTATGCTTCCCATGACATACCATCTTGCACAGAAATGCCGGATTATAAAACTCGCCACTTCTCCTAACATTCTCAACAGCCCATACTTAATTCACTTACGTACCTAGATGCAGGTTCCTATCTACATGAAAATAGAGGAAAGCCAGGTATGATTGGCACCCGAAGGAACATTAGCGTTGAAGCTGGCAATTACCCAGTAGGGCAGATTTCAAAAAACTGATTGGCAGCCCTAGTATGGCACTAACACCTCTCCAGAGGTTGCAACACAATTATCCTTGTCTGAACTCGAATACCAAAAAAACCCCCCTTTTCACATCCCTAACCACTCCACATGCCTCTACATGGACAGAAGCAAGTCTTTCTAACTAAGAAGCACTCCCCAGTAGTCAACGTGCCTCTCTCAATTCTAAAGACTTTACAAGAGGCCAAGGGTGGTGGTGGTGGTGATGGTGGTAAGACATTGCAAGGACACCAACAGGCAAGGACCCTTTATAATGTGGCACAACTTAGCAGGAACAAAACAAAAGAGAGCAGTCTGGGAAATCCCCCACTCCTGCCCCAACCATATGATGAGGCTACCTCATGACTCATTACTAGTTCCCCCTGAGAAAAACCATTTCCTAATAGAAGCTAGGCCACTCGAAATCCAGCCCTACACCAAGGGCTGTAGCCAGCCACTACACCAGGAATATGCGATCCACCCTCCCACAAGATCAAACATAGCACAGTACTGAGAGTATACCATGCTCATTCACTGCGTAGGATTTAAACCTTTTACTTCAACTCCGAATAACCTCTTATCTACGTGCCAAACCCTATCTTCTCCTTTAACAATACAGTAACCACAAATGCCTATTTTGTACTCAGTCTCCCTTCCAGGTGGCTAGGCCTCCCTCTTCTTCCTACTCATCATCCAAACACGGGGTATGTTCCTGTCCATGATCTGGGCAAATCAACTTTACCACATGCCCCCTATCAAACATGAAATATTCTCCACTCACCTAGTTTACACCTTGCTCTGGATGGACAGAGGCATTCCCAAACCTCAAGAAAAGGGCACTCAGAGTCTCACATGCAACTCTTAGAAATATTCCGCAGATGTGGACCCTCACCTCCATTCAGTCAGAGCACACCTAGATACAAAGCAGGATTGAAAAGAAATGATTTCGGGAAGACTCTCACATAGAATTATTTAAATCCATTTTGTCTTGTGTTAAACTTTTAAAAAATCACCAAATAAATGGGTCTGCTCTCTTTACGATATCAATTTGTGAAAATGGAAAAAAATGTGAGCTGGAGGAAACGCAACTGAAGGAAAGTGAGTTATCAAACTGGTCTGAGTAGTTCTTAGACTATTACTGTATCAAAGAGGCAAAGGTGAATTTCAGAGGAACAGAAAAGCAGAGCATCGTATTTTATTGTTTAAATTAATGATTTTTACCAAAGTGTAGAGAAATGCCAAGAGTTTTGTTATGGTCACAGAGAATTCTTTCTGGGTATAGAAAGACAATGGCTTTCTTTTATATAACAATAATATGTGTTTATAACAGTATTTTTTAAAAATTTAATAAGCACTGGATATTTACTGATTATTCTTACTTGCTTCTCCTGGAATTCAACACTCAATGAATAGGCAGAAGCTATGTTTTGGTTTCTGTAAAAACAAACATCATGCAAACTTAGATTTTTATTTTCTTGATAATATGATAAACATTAATCTTTAGATTACCTGAGATAGTCATAATGTTCTACTTTTCAGTAAACTCTATTGATATCTGCATATGTCAGTTCCCTGCACTTGTCATCAATACATCCAAAGATCAATTTATCAATGGATAAATGCTTGGCTGGGTTCCCAGCACCAGGACATGCACATACACCTATCTCACCCTGTCTTTGCATGAGGGGCTTTTGCCTTCTTCTGTGTAAGACATATGTTGTCACTCTCTCTGCCATCAAGGCCAGGACTGTGGAGTTTTAGAGAACAGCAGGCTTGTGAGGATCAAAAAAATATCCACAAGCCCCAGCTTATTCATTTCTTAAGAACCTATTGTCCTGGAGTTAGTTACTGTAAAAATAGTAACATGCATATCACCTGTATATATTCTTCAGAATAAATCACATACCAAGTATCTTCTTTAAAGTATAGAATCAGAAAGTTAATAAATTGTTGAAGTTAAGAACAAATCTTGCTAAAGTATTACTAGTCCACATCTACCAAAATAAAGTACTCACTCTTCTGCTTGCCTCTCAGATTATCTAGCTCCAGAAAAGGCTCCTTCTGATTTCTATACACTTTCCTTCTTGGCAATGTTTTGGCGCTCATCCTAAAGGATCTTAAACTCTTGAACACATATCCTTAATTTCTGCTTGAGCTCTCAGAGGAAAGCAATGATCTCAGGAAAATACCTCCGCTCCTCTTTCTTCTCCTCTGATTCCAACACTGGGGGGCAGTTTCTGCTTTCAGCTTTGCTTGATTTACTTACAGTCAATATTCCAAAACAGAAAATCCTGCTGTAATTGTTGTGTTCTAATGACTGTAATCACAATTCTGTACTTTGCACTACATAGAGTGGTTAAGAGTTTTGGCTCTATGGTAGGTTTCTGTTAAATGAATGACTAAATAAATGACTCACAAGTCATTGGCATGGGATATAAAGTCAGTTGAAAATTAAAGGAGTAGAGAACATTTTACATTAGTTTATTAATTATTTAATGAATAGTTTAAAACCATATCTTTTTGGGAAAGATTTGTAAAAGATGCCACAATAGGCTTCTTCCTAAAATTTAGGAAACATTCCAGTTATTAACATCAGTAACTTATCTTTTAGAGGATTAAGTTGATTCAGAGATGAGGTATAGGATATCCATTTTGATTATATTCCATTGAGGAGTGTGGAATTTCTGATGTCTTCTCCACCCAATTCTATTAATATACCATGTGGAATTCTGAAGGTCCTGTACTCAGTGTATAGTAGAGAGGGCAAAAGAGTAGGACAGGATGGATGGTCCAACCCCTCCAGATAAAGAAGGATGTGAGGTCAACTGCTGTGATTGGGTGAGCTAAAACATGGGAAGGAATCTCAGGGAGTGAGGAAAGAAGAATTGCTTCTATGAGGAATGCTCCAAGGAGTTAATTAAGGATTAATTGAAAGAAAATTGAACAGCTTTGACGTGGCCACTATGGTTACACATTATGACTTTAGAGTTGAATCGAGGTGCAGAGTTGTGTAACTTTCTGCAAGAGCACCTGTTTGCCCCGAAGGAGAGAGACAGGAAGGTTGACTTTATCACTGGAAACCTGCAAGGCAGTTAAGAGCAAAGGATTACAGAAAGTTCGTTGGCATTAAGTAACTGACACTTAAGTAGAAATTCCTTCAAGGTCATTGGGCAAGAAATGTTTCAAAGAAGGGGGAAGACTACCTACATAGATAGATGTGAAATGGTTACAGATAATGAACCTGAAAGTACCCTGCCGTCTCCCTTATTAATTAGGCATAGCCCCTTCTCTGGTTTACTCTTGTATGGGCTCAAGGTCTTCTTGTACCCCAGCGATTATTCTCCCCATATTCTCTACTGTATGATTTATTCCACTATTATCTGGCCCCTTTGAACTTGAGGATCCCATTATGAACATCCATTACCTTACCTGACTTGGTGCCAAGCTGGTGGGCAGTCTGGTAGAGTATCTGTGCCACGTAGTGATCCTTGATCACTTCTCATATCCATGGTGTCTAGACTGGGAAAGGCATAGAGAAACCAAGACCCAGCTGGAGGACTTGGATATAAGCATTCAAAGGGTATGAAGTTCATGATGAGGGAAAATATTATTAGGTATAAGAAAGACAGAACAATAAGAGTTTGTGTTTTAAAAGAATTTCAGATTTGAAATCTTGATGATGGAGGAGTATTAAATGAAGACAATACCAAGGTGTGGCTATGGTTCTGTGTAGATGAAAAAGACTGAAGAAGAAGGACAGTAAAGTTGAAAGTCAAAGAGTTCAGGGCCATGTGGTTGTGAGGGCTGTTCACATTTTCCACACAGAGAAGAATGTGCCTAAGTTAAGGTCCATGTTTCAATAATTTTTTTCAATATCTCTTACTTCCCAATACATTGTGTATAAACTGTGGGTTGAATTTATTTGAATGTTGAAAAGTTACATGGAGTATTACTCAGACATTAAAAGAAATGAAATAATGTCTTCTGCATGGATGGAAATGGAGACATGGGGACATGTCTGTCAGTGGAGACCATTCTCCTAAGTGAAGCATCTCAGGCATGGAAAAACAACTAGGACATATTCTCACTTATAACTGGGAGCTAAATTATAGATATATATAGTCACAAAGTTGTGTACTGATCATGAAAACTAGGAAGGCAAAAGGGTGAGAGGTGACTTAGGGACAAATATCTACATACTGATTACAGTGTGCAGTATTCTGGTGATGGGTACATTAAAAGGCCTGACTTCAGCATTATCTAATTCTTCCATGTAAGGAAAAAATATACTCATACCCTGAAATCTATAGAAATGAAAAAAAAATCACTAAGGTGGTTGTAGGAAATGTAGTAAATTTACAAATGTGAATTATCTGGTTTATACTTTTATTTTATTTTTAAGTTTTATTTATTTATTTTTTAGAGACAGGGTCTTGCTGTGGCAACCAGGCTGGAGTACAGTGGCATGATCATAGCTCACTGCAGCCATGAACTGCTGGGCTCAAGTCATCCTCTTGCCTCAGCCTCCTAAGGAGTTGGGGCTACAGGTATGTGCTACACACCTGTCTAATTGTTAAACTTTTTGTAGAGATGGGATGTTGCTAAGTTGCTTGGGCTGGTCTCAAATTCCTGGGCTCAAGTGATCCTCCTGCCTCAGCCTCTGAAAATGTAAGAGTATAGATGCAGACAACCACCCTGGTCTGATCTCTACTTTTTGATGAGAAAGCTTCTAACACTTGACTTTCTCAAGCCATGGAGCTATTTTCAACCCTTCAGTGACTGCTCCAACATATCCCCACTAGGCAAATCTCCCCTTTCCTGGTATCCCATTTGAAAGTGGACTAAGTATATGAACAGAAACTTTTCAAAAGAATACAGACTAATGGCCAACAAACATATGAAAAAATTCTCAACATCTCTAATCATCAGGGAAATGCAAATCAAAACCACAACGAGATATCACTTAACTCCAGTGATAATGGCTTTTACCAAGAAGTACAAAAACGATAAATGTTGGCATGGATGCAGAGAGATAGGAACACTCATACAATGCTGGTGGGACTACAAATTAGTACAACTTCTATGGAAATTAATATCAGAGATACTCCAAAGAGCTAAAAGGAGAACTACCATTTGATCCAGCAATCCCACTACTGGGCATCTACCCAAAGTAAAAAAAGACATTCTGTTAAAAGGACATCTACACTAGAATGTTTATAGAAGAACTAGCACATCTTATCCTGGATGGAGCTGGAGCCCATTCTGCTAAGTGAAGTATCAGAAGAATGGAAAACTAGTACCACATATCCACATGTCCACACCATTGAATTGGTATTAATTGATCCATACTTATGTACACATATAGTACTAACATTCGTCGGGTGTCAGGCAGGGTGGGGGGAAGGTATGGGCACATTACACCTCATGGGTACAGTGTACACCATTTGGGGGATGGACACACTTGAAGCTCTTACTCAGGTGGAGCAAAAGCAACACAGGTAACCTAAACATTTGTATCCCTGTAATATGCTGAAATAAAAAAATCAATCAATCAATTAATAATTAAATATAAATAAATAATAAAATGGCATTTAAAAACATATTTGCTTAAAAGGCAAAGTAAATATGCATATAATCAGCACTCTTTGATAGTTTCCACTTGACTTTTATGTTTAACAAATTAATTTTTTTGCACGATTGTGTAGATATTTGGACAAAGAGACATCTTCATGGAGTTCAGTTTGAATGGAAATTTATCAAAATGATGTTGTCAAGTAGAGTGGCATGCCTTTTTCCTGATCTTCCTTCCTTTATCTTTCATCCTGAATTTCTCCCCTAGGAATTTTTTCCTGTCTTCACTCTGGGTGGTTGCAGCTGAATCACGGGAAGAAATGGCAGCTCTATTCCAGGGATTAGACTGTTCCCTATAGCCATGGGGAAGATGACAAATAATAAATATTCAATAATCAGCAGAAAGATACAGTTGTTGGCCATTAAAAAATTGCTCTGACTCAAAGTCTTGTGTATTATAACAGCCTGTATATCTTTCTCGCTTGAATACTGAGACTTTCACGAACCACAATGATTCATTCATTCATTCAAAAAGCATGTATTGAGCATCACAACATGCTATCCCATTTGAATGGTTACCGTGAACAAGGCAGACAGAATTGTTTTCTCATAGACTTTGAATTCTAGTGAGAAGAGAAATCTACAAGTAAACAAACATTAATTCAGATTGTGATAAGCTAATATGAGACATAAACTAGATGGCAAGATAGAGAGTAGTTGGGGAGGAGGTAGACATTCCACTTTTCACTGGACAGGGAAGGATCCTCTCAGAGGAAACCTCTGAGCTGAGATATGAGGAGGGAAGTCCGCCCTGCCTAGAGCCAGTACAAGATTGCAATCAGAGGGAAAAGCAAGTGCAACTGCCCCAGAGGCAGGAAAGTCTTGGAATCTTTGAGAAGCAGTGGGGAGGTCTGCAGGTCTGACACAGGAAGAGCGCATGGAGCGAGGCACAGGTGTGGTTGGACAGGCTGTGAAGGACAGCACAGGGCCTAGAAGGGCCCGTCCTCATGCCTGTGCTTCCCTGTAAGTGCAGTGGGAACTCCTTGGTGGATTTTTAAACAGGGTGCTAGTATAATCTCTTTAAGAAGTTAAAAGAATGTTCCAGATGCAGTGTAGAGAATGGTTTATAGCAGGGCTCTCAAACTTCAGCACATATCAGCCTCACCTGGAGGATCTGTGAAAACACAGATTGCCGGGCCGCACCTCCAAAGTTACTGAATCAGTGGGTCTGGGGTAAGCCTTAAGAATTTGCATTTTCAACCAGTTCTAGGTGCTATGTTCTGAAATGTGTCCCCTCAAATTCATATGTTGAAGTCTTAACTCCCAATGTGGAGGTGGGGCCTTTAGGAGGTAATTAGGTTTAGATGAGGTCAGGAGGGTGGGGCCCTCATGATGGGATTAGTGCCCTTATAGAAGAGATACCAGACCACACTCCCTCTCCTCTCTTCACTCCCTCTCCGTCCCCACAACCAGTGAGGACAGTGAGAAGATGTCTGCAAGCTCTCTGTAAGCCAGGTACAGAGCCCTCACTTGAACCTGACTATGCTGGCACCCTGATCTTGGACCTCCAGCCTCCGGAAATGTGAGAAATAAATTTACACTGCTCAAGCCATTCAGACTATGGCATATAGCTAGGGCAGCCAGAATGGACTAAGATACAGGTGATGCTGATGATGGAGTGGACACCACACTTTAAGAACCACTGCTTTAAAGAGACTAGAGTAGATCCACAGAGACCAGCTAGAAAACTACTGCAGGGATCTGGGTACAAATGGACATGGCAGGGTAGTGTCAATAGGAGGAGATTGAGAGGGGACCCATAAAAAACAATTACAGTGATACAAAGTTGTAGTTCCTAATTAAATTGTACTCTAAACTTTGCAAATAAATTCTCTAAGCCTTGTGTAAACATTAGTTTATTTTTCTTTTAAAAGTTTAAAAGTTACCAATCAAAAGGTTTAGATAAAATGGGAAAACTGAGTGGTGAACATTTGCTCTGACTTAGGTAATGTGTAGCAACATATTAGCTAACAAAATACAATTATCAAAAACTTCCATTGTTGGGCTGGGAAGAATGGCTCAGGCCTATAATCTTAGCAGTCTAGGAGGCTGAGGCAGGAGGACTGGTTGAGGTCAGGAGTTTGAGACCAGCCTGAGCAAGAGCAATGCATCATCTCTACAAGAAACAGAAAAATTAGCCAGGTGTGGTGGTGTGCCCTTGTAATCCCAACTACTTGGGAGGCTGAGGCAGGAGGCTCACTTGAGTACAGGAGTTTGAGGTTTCTGTGAGCTAGGTTTATGCCATGGCGCTCTAGCCTGGGAAACAGAGCGAGACTCTATGTCAAAAAATATATATATATCCATTATTTACAATTATTTTCAATACAATGTTACTTAAATATGTAAAAACGTAATTCAAAGTATAAATGACTTATTCTTTTTAAATAATTATGAAAATCAAAATAATTTTTAAAATCATATACAAAGATTAAACTATTACATCTTATATTTTTAGCTGTGTAATAATCCAGCTTGAGACTCTTTCTATTAATGAGATTAAGCCATTTACATTTATTATAATCATTGTTATCTTAAGACTTACTTTTACCTTCTTATCTAATATTCTTACTAATTAAATTTTTATTTTATTCTTCCCTATTTTCCATTGTATAGAGAATGTTCTTTCTGCTGGTTTACCTAGTTTATGAGGAATATGGAAAAGGAAGAGGAATCTCTTGAGGGTGGCTGGTCAGTCTGAATCCATTTTCATTAACTCTTTATCCCCAGGACAGTATTTTTGCTGCCCTAACAATAACCCATTATATTTTTGTTCCTATGGCAATTGCCTTTAGGACCCATAATATTGATAAACTTATCCACATTTAATTTCTTAAACTTATTAAAGTCTTCTCTTTTTAACTAAAAGCTATTTTTGCATAATCTGATGT